CTATGAGATGAATCTCTTGGAGGCAGCATAGTGTTGGGTCTTTTTTTTTTTTAATCCAATCTGCTAGCCTATGTCTTTTGATTGGTGAGTTTAGGCCATTAAATTCAGGGTTATTATTGAGACATGATTTGTATTTCCAGCCATTCTTGTTTATTTTTGATATTTAACAGATTTTGGTTTCTCCTGTGATTAGTTTTTCCTTTAGTGTAATACATCTCTCTGCTGATTTTCATTCTTGTTTTTCATTTCCTCCTCCTAGAGCATTTTGCTGAGGATGTTCTGTAGTGCTGGCTTTCTAGCTGTAAATTCATTTAACTTTTGTTTATCATGGAAGATTTTTATTTCATCGTGAAATCTAAAGCTTAATTTTGCTGGATATAAGATTCTTGGTTGGCATCCATTTTCTTTCAGAGCTTGTATATGTTGTTCCAGGATCTTCTAGCTTTCAGGGTCTGGGTTGCTGAAAAATCTGCAGATATCCTAATTGGTTTCCTCCTATATTTAGTCTGATTCCTTTCTCTTGTAGCTTTTAAAATTCTCTCCTTATTCTGTATGCTAGGTGTTTTCATTATAATGTGCCTTGGTGTGTATCTGTTGTGATTCTGTACATTTGGCATCCTGTAAGCTTCTTGTATTTGGTTTTTCAATTCATTCTTCATGTTTGGAAAATTCTGTAATATTATTTCACTGAATAGATTTTTTGGTTTGGAACTCGATGCTTTCCTCTATCCTAATAACTCTTAAATTTGGTCTTTTTATATTATCCCGTAATTCTTTAATGTTCTGCTCATGGTTTCTTACCATCTTCACTGTGTGATCTACATTCTTTTCGAGATTATATATTTTTTCCTCATTGTCTGAGGTCCTGTCTTCCAGATGGTCTAATTTGTTGGTGATGATTTCTATTGAGCTTTTAATTTGGTTTATTATTTCTTTCATTTCAAGGATTTCTCTTTTGTTTTTTTTCAGAACCTCCATCTTCTTTCTGAAGTAATCTTTAGCTTCCTGTATTTGCTTATGTAGCTCTTTATCAAAATGATCTTTTGTTGCCTGTATTTGTTCTCTTATATCATTCTTTAATTCACAGAATTTTTAATTTTGCATATCCTGAATTTCTCTGTAATTTCATCTGTTGTGCTACCCATGGATTCTAATAATGTAGTATCTTGTTTTGTTTGGGGCAACTTTCTCCCCCTTTTTTTTTTTCATGCTGTTTGTGTGTCTTTCCTTCTAGCACTGACTATCTGCAGCATTACTGTTTTTTATACTTTAGGCTTTTAGTGCCCCTGTAAGGGTTCTAATACCTCTCCTGCCCAGCTGGTGTTCTAAGCTGGGAGTTGCCACAACTAAAGATGGCAAGGATGGGTCACAAGATGGAGGTGGTTGCTTCAGCAATGGAGCGTCAGGTTGGACGAGGGGGCCCCTAGTGATGATGTTGGGCAATGTGTTCAAAGATGCAGTTGGGACCCAGTGTGGGCTCCGTGGGCATTGGTGGGGCTGTCCTGGGACGTTCCAGGGCTCCACAGATATGATCTTTATTTTAATAGCCACTTTTGAAATTAAAAGGTCATAGTGGAAAACCATCTAAACAGGAATTGAAAGAAAAAAAATCACAATATCTAGTTTTAGCTCTCACAATAATTAACCATACACTTTGGGCAAATCAAATATTCTTCTAGTCCATATTTTCTCATCCCTTATATAAAGACAATTATTATAAACATGCATATATATAATATATATAAATCTTTTATATATGTTTTTTATTGTTAATTGATGCATAATTGTTATATATATCCACGGGGTACATTATGGTGTTTTGCTATATGTATACTATTATATACATCAAATCAGAATAATTAGCATATTCATCACCTCAAATATTTTAAATGGAAGTTTATAAAGTTTTCAATTGTAAAATAATGTATACATATTATTGTACAGTTTGAAAATCCTGAAATGTGCTAGAAAATAAGATCATCTATATACTCATTACCTAAAAAAAATATGCTTAACACTTTCATTTCCTTATGGTGTGACTCCCTTTGTTGGCTGGCAGGTGTAAGCTATAACTAAGTATTATCACTTACAATTACTATTAATCATCTAGTAGTCTAATTGTATATTCCATTTTTTATTAATGTAATACATGCATTTAGTTTTAAAGTCAAATAGTACTATAGCTCCATGATAACAATCAGTACTTCTCTGTACTGCCTATTTCACACATTATTATTTCTGAGTCCAATTTCTTGAGACAAAAATTTTCAACTGTTAGCATTTTGTTTTAAATATTTATGGCTTAACTTACAAATGTAAGCCATGTGCACTATCATTATTTGATTTTTCCCTTCAGTTTAATATATTATTGATTGACTTTCCATAATCTAAGAATAGGATTTAGATCTCCTACTACCTCCTCTCACCTTCTCATACACTTTCTGCTAAGTATAACAATCCAAAAAACATACATTTAAAAGATATCATTTTAATAATTTTGATTCACAATATTTGATTCACAATAGTATTTGTATTTTTTATAGTTAAGTATCTAAAACAGTGTAATTATTTATAGCTTTCTTTAATTAATCTGTCTTTTATTTTTATGGATTATATAATTCCTTGCTTTTTCACTTTCTTCATCTTCCACTTATTAATCATTGATTATGATGTCATTTACATTCATTTTTTTTCTGTAGTCATTCCTCTGACCATTTACAGTCATGATCTGACTGGAGCTGGCTCTTCTCTGAGCTGCTGCAATGCCTCTAATTTGTGAGTGTTTCTAGATTTGCTTCAGCTTTGAGTTGCTTCATTTTTCTGTTTCTTCCCCAAAGACACTTAGCAAAGTGAAGAAACTTGAAGCTCCTGTCAATTAGGACATCTATCTGTGTCCATCTCATTAATCTTTTCAGGTACTGAGATCTTATGGCTAAGTTTCCTCTGTTATCTTCTCACTGTCTCATTGTTTTTCTGAATTAAATACATCTTTATTCCATTACTGAAATCATAGTGGATTTCTAAAGGGAGTAGACATGTTCATTCTACCATGCATAATTTAAAGTTAGAAATAGCCAGGTCATAAAATTATCATGAGGATAAATCTGATATTGTACACAATAGCAGTTTGTGCACCATAAGTCCTACACACATATCTGGCATTACTACTCTACATTAACATGTTTCTTCAGAATTCTTTCTCATTTGACACAGGGAGATTATATTAACAGCACTAAGTCTTTGGCTTTTACCTACATTTCAGAAGTCTTCATCCCTATTAAAATCCTAATTATTTTGGGGAGTGTCTGGAACCAGGGAACATTACTTACCATTTTGTTTAAATCTGTACTAAGTACCAGGTAAGCTGCTTTAGACACTTTGGGTATAAATTACTAAATAAGATAACAATTCCTCCACTTTTGGATTTGGATTATAGTCAGAAAAGGCAAACACCAGTCTCCAGATAAAATTCAGCTGTGTAGTACAGCAGCAGACGATAAGTGTTACAAAAAAGGAAAAGATATATCTATATCTATATCTATATCGATATCGATATCGATATAGATATATGCATTAGGAGGTGGGAAATTTCTGAGTTGGGAGAGGTTGCAATTAAAGTAGGGGACTCAGGATGAGAAGGTGACTTTTGGGGGGAAAAAGGCTAAAAGAAGGTGAGAGAGTGAAGAAATGCTGATATCTAAGGAAAAGATTGTTACAAACAAAAGAAGCAGTCTTAAGGCCAACAAGGGAAGATGGTTGTGGATAATATGTGGTAGGCTTGAGGACCATATTCCTGGAACAAATAAATGGGTAAAGGACAGAGTTGTAAGAATGGAAATCCAAGAAGAGTACATATCATATAGGGCCATGTGTCAAGGACTTTGGCATTTTCTCTGCTTAAGGTAGAATCTCATTAGTTTCATTAAGGGGCATGATCCTCCTAATAGTGGAAAAAAAATATTCATAGGAAAAGATATCCCACATCATATGTCATCAGAGAAATACAAATTAAATCAACAATGAGATTGCACCATACGCTTATTGGAATGCCCAAACTCAGAGCACTGACAATACCAAATGCTAACAAAGATGTGGAACAACAAGAACTCTCACTCATTGCTGGAGGAACTATAAAATTGTACATCCTCATTGGAAGATCATTGGGAATTAAAAAGAAAAAAAAAACTAAATATGTAATTCAATATTCTTGCTCTTGGTATTTACTCTAAGAGTTAAAAACTTATGTCCACACAAAAATCTGTACATGAATATTGATAGCAGCTTCTTCATTCATAATTGCCCAAACTTGGAAGCAACCAAGATATTCTTCAGTATGTGAATGGATAAACAGTGGTACATTCAAACAATGCAATTTTATTCAGCATTGAAAATAAAGGAGCTATCAAGCTATGAAACTTGTATACATATATCAAAGTCAAATGAGCCAAACTGAAAAGACTTCTTTTTCCAACTACATGCTATTCTGGAAAAGAAAAACTATGAAGACAGCAAATGGATCAGCAGTTGCCAGAAGTTAGAGGGGAGAGAAGAATGGAGAGGCAGATCACAAAGAATGTGTAGGGCAGTGGACCTACTCTGTATGACATTATCATGGTGGATATATACCTTTATAAATTTGTCAAACCTATAGAATGTACGATACCAAGAGTGAAACATAATATAAACTATATACTTTGGATGATTCTGATGTACCACTGTAGGTCACCACTTGTAACTAATGTAGTCCTATGGTGAAGGATGTTCATGATAGGATAGGCTATACATGTGTGGAGATGGGGTATAGGGGACATGTCTGTACCTTCTGCTCAATATTGCTGTGAAGCTAAAACTTCTCCAGAAATAATTGATTAGAAAAGATGACTGTAGCTACTATTTTGTAGGTAGAATATAGGAGAACAAAGATGGGAGCAAATGGAAAATTTAGATGATATTGTAGTTATCAGGTAAGAACTGATATTGAATGGCTTTCACCAGAGATATGCTAGGTAGGAAATCTTTTTTTTTTAAATTTTTTTATTGTTGGTTGTTCAAAACATTACATAGTTCTTGATATATCATATTTCACACTTTGATTCAAGTGGGTTATGAACTCCCATTTTTACCCCGTATACAGATTGCAGAATCACATCAGTTACACATCCATTGATTTACATATTGCCATACTAGTGTCTGTTGTATTCTGCTGCCTTTCCTATCCTCTACTATCCCCCCTCCCCTCCCCTCCCCTGTAGGAAATCTTTGAGTCTACAAATACTTTGAAAGTAGAGTCAACAAGGTTTCCTGACAAAATGGATGTAGAAAGTAACATAAAAACTCAAGGATGACTTCAAATCCTTTATCCTGAGCAACAGGAAGTTTGCAGCTACCATTAACTGAGATGGATAAAGTTTTGATAAAATAGGTTTGGGAAAAGAGGACTGGAGTTAAGTTTAGTTCAGTCTGAGATTATCTATTGATAACCAGTCAGGTATGTGTTGCCATTTAGATGTGAGTTGTGCCCCCACAAGATCATGTGTGAGACAATGCCAGAAGTTTTAGAGGAGAAATGATTGGGTTATGAGAGTCTTAACCCAATCAGTGAATTAATCCTGATGGGATTAACTTGAGTGGTGACTGAAGGTGGGTAGGATGTGGCTAGAGAAGGCAGGCAGTGGGGGTATGCCTTCGGGTATATATTTTTATCTGAAGAGTGGAGTCTCTCTCTGCCTCCTGATAATCATGCCACCTCCTTCTGCTACACTCTTCTCTGTGATGTTCTGCCTCATCTTGAGACCCAAGGAATGAAGCCAGTTGTCATTGGACTGAGACGTCTGAAATTGTGAGCCCCCAAAATAAACTTTTTCTCCTCTAAAATTGTTCTGGAAAGGTCTTTTAGTTAGAACAGTGAAAAAGCTGGCTCAAAGAGTATGTCAATTGTTTGGTATAAAAAATTTGTCAGCTGACTACCATAGGATATCTGCTATGTTTTTCGTTTTTGCTTTTTTTTCCTACCCTGGCCCCTGCTGGTGGTCATTGTTGATGTGCCACTTGAAAAGGTCTCATTACTACTTCTGCAGTCAGAGTCCTCAATGAGAATAATGATATCGATGCGAAAGTTTATTATGGAGCTTCAAGCAAAGCCAAGCCTTGAAGGCAGAGAAAGACTGTGGTCTCTGAAGTACATATTCACACAAGTAAAATGGCGGCCTTCTCCTTACTCTCCTCATTGGCATTACACATGTGCTTTTCCTTAAGCAATATCCATCTGCTTCTGTCTACACTTTCTCCCTCCTCAGGCTGAGGAATAAGAGCTCTTGGACTGAGACCTGTAATCTTTTCCTCTTCTTCTTCATTTAAGCTCCTCCTTCAACTCCAAGCTTATTTTTTCCTTACTATTCTTTCCTCTTTCCTCATACTAACTTGAATATTCTCTTTCTGGTTCTAGGAATGGACATGTCTGAATCTCTACTTAGGCCATTGTTAAAGTATTATAATTTTATTGACTCTATAGTAGAGGAGAGGTCTGATTAAGATGGAAATAATGAGGAAGAGACAAATATGAGTAACAATACAGTAGAATCCTAAACTGGATGGAGGTGATTCCTAGCACTTGGTTCCTGCCCACTTGAAAACTAATGAAGAACTATTATACTGGTTGTGTAGCATAAAAAGTATAACAGAGTAATATATGAAAAGTTCACTAATTCATTACTAAAACATCTCCATGACTAAATTTTTTCCCTACATTCATTTTCTCTACTACTTGCACATTTTCAGATTATATCATTATGTCTCTAGGAATTCTTAGTAAATGAAAGAATTATTCTTAAATTTAATATTTTGGAATTATACTTTCAGTTGATGATCCAAATCTAAAAACAACCTTGTGTTTTTGGAGTTTCTTCATATGGGGGTGGAGGACCTAGTGTGTCAAAACATGGAACAGGGTACTGTTCAAGGTTTTGAGTTTGAAGGTGAATTCCAAGAGTTGGACTCACAGCTGCTTCAGTCCCTGGAAAGAAAAAGAGATATGTCATCTTACTAGACAGCATAAAGCAGAAGTACACAAAATGCCTGAAGAAATCTGCCATTTTTTTTATCACTAGGGCAACTGAAAATTATTTGTGCACTTGAGAAAAAATTTACAACTATCTTGCTCTCCAAAGTGATAGTTTAGTCATGATAGCAAGAAAATTTCCTTGAATGAAGTGATCATATCATTATTGACCAACCCATCGAGAAGCATTTACAATTTTATAACTGAAACTAGGAGGAATGTTTTGTTTTGTTTTGTTTTTCATAGAACAGAATAGAGGATTCCTTACACAGCATTTTAGCTAATACTCCCAGCATAGGACATGCAGGTTTCACTTTCTAGTGTCTAGTGTTTCTACATTAAAATATCACTTTTAAACTTTATTTGTATTTATTTTTACTAACTGCAAATAATGCAAAAATCACTTCAAACATTTTCTTGTAATAGTAAAAATGTTAAGATAAATGCTGAAAAATTTGCATTTAAAGTATATCACACACACGGATTCTAAAATTTAAAAACATACTTTGAAATAAAGATTCTGCAAAGTGTGAAATATGATATATCAAGAAATTTGTAATGTTTTGAACAACCAACAATAAAAAATTAAAAAAAAAAGAAGTGTAGTTTAGAGGGAAAGAACCAGAAAGTTACTGCTGGTTGCTTCATATCTCATTGTTAAATTCCTTAGAGTTGAGAAAGGGTTGATGTGTGGCTTTCAGAAATGATAAGAGGTTATGAATTTTATATTTCAGAAAACATTCATTGCCAGGATTGTGAAACAATATTCAAGGCCAAATAGAAAACCAGTTAGTCTGGATTTGTAATTTGTCGAATAATCCTCCAACAGTATCAACAGAAGATGTAAAATTTGGCAAGACTGAATGTTATCAATACTTTCTATCAAGACAGTAGAATGAACCAGACATAACTTTCCTATGCTCGGCCAGTGTAACTCCACATCATGTACAACTACAGAATGGGATAAAAATTGGAATGGGTTGCACTTGAAGTATGTATAATATGTCAAAATACACCCTACTGTCATGTATATCTAAAAACAACAAATTAAAAACATATTTTCTATATGTAAAAAAAAAAAGAAATAAAGATTCTGGTTTGTAGATTGTACAATAAAGTCACTAAATATCAAAAACAGGCCTTCTCATCCACAAACTGGTAACCTTGAGGGACTTTGAATTTATCCTAGTAACTTTTAGAACTCTATTAGTATTTTTTGAAAGATTATTTTTGAGCCACACAGGAAATCAATAGTAATATTTTATAACACTCTTTCTTTGTATACATTTTTTTTCACCTGAGTCTTTACCTGACTTTGAATGATTTTGATTGCTTCTTCCCAAAACAATAGTAATGACCGTAAATTTAATTTTATAGAAGTCCTTGAACTAAATCCAGCTCTTGGGTGTTTTTGTATATTAAATTTAACTGGAACGCATCTATACCTATTCATTTACATATTGACTATGGCTGCTTTTGAACTATAGTGACAGAGGTGAGTAGTTCCTTCAGAGACTATATGGACTGCGAAGCCAAAAATATTTTATCTGTCCTTTAATAGAAATTTGCTGACCTTCCTTGAAGAATTCCACTGGGAAGTTTCCAAAGAACATGGTCCAATTATAAAACAAATTTTAAAATGTGTTACTTATTAGGCATTAGCTGCATCACACAAGCCCATATGTAGATTACTCAAAATGTTTACTTGGGTGTGGAACAACAATTTAGAATCATGAATTTTTATACATTTGTATTTGCCTGATTTCTTATCTTGCTGGTCCTTACAGCAAAGTGTAATAATGCAAACATGAATATAGCATATGAAGGGTAGAATACAGTTAGAATATTAGTCTCACCTGTTGATTCAGTAATTTTCTCAGAAAGTTATTTATTTAATTGAATAATCCATTCCTAGGCTATTGCATAATATTTATTTACCCAAATTTTTTTGTACAATAAAATGATAATGATAGTGTCTACCTATGAAAAAGCAGTACAATGTTTAAGGTGAGTTCTGGCACACAGTAATGTTTATTATTATTTCTATTACTTATAAATAATTTTACTATGCTATGAATACACATGTACTTTTTGTTTATAATTGTATTTCCTGATCTTTTATTTTAATGGCTACATAATGTTTTAATAAGTATTAATATTAGTTTGAACAAAACTCATAAAATAAAAAATATCCTGGATTAAATCTATAGATTTAAGCTGACACCAGCTGTCTGTGGGACTTGATCATTAGTAAAACATATTGCCTATGTAATTCCAGCCATTGTGAAAGTTTGTACTCAAAATTGACTATTTTCCTGGGAGACTGCTCCAGGTATAGTCAATATAAAGTCAATGGTAATGTCTACCTGGAAATTGTTGACCAGGTGACTCTAACACATTTATTACCTTTTCTAATTTACTTCTACTTCTCCAATATACTCTACTACTGCTATTATGAATGTTGTGTTCTAGGCAACAGGATCTTGACAATTATGCTCTGTGATTGGAAAGTTTTATTATTTCCTTAACTACAGATTTGTCTGTTGCTCTGAAACTTGTTATAAAAACTACAAGGCATTTGATTAATAAAGGCAACTAAGCTAATATGCTCAGAAAGCTTTTGAAATAGAAAATATATCAGTTTTTAATTGTTTTCAAGGCATGTTTCCATATAATTCATGTGATTGGGGGCGAGGAAAGCAGGTGTTACTTCTATCTTTTAAAAAGTTAAGAAACTAAGGGAACTCAATTTAGAATGCCTACAAAAATCCTATAGTATTACCAGAACTGCTGGTTAAAGTATTAGAATTTATTGCTTAATGTTGTAAAACCTATACATTTACCACTGAGTTTTCATACCCCAAATTCATGTTTTCCACATTGTTAAGAGTAATTCCAATAGACTTGACATTTTAATATGTCTTTTCTATTTGTTCTCTTTTTCCTCCTTGATCTTATCCCTTTATCATATATGGAAATCATTCTCAAAGGCCTGAATTTGACTCTACCATCGACTAACTGTGCTGCTTAGTCTGTAAATGCCTTCATTTTCTCATCTGTAGAGTATTTCAAATTATGGTAGGCCCTCAAAGAGTTGTAGAGAAGAATAAATGAAATTCAAATATCAAAGTCCTGGGTCATAGTAAATGCTCAATAAATGTGAATTATCACTATTGTCATGCCCTTCCTGGAAAGTGTGTGAATAAAACACTCCTTCTTTCCCTATGTTAAAAAAAAAAAAAAAAATCCCAGACCATTTACACATAGAACATAAAATACACAGAAGAGATCTCTAAGGATCCTAAAATGAACAAATCCTGAGAGACCAGAGGGGAGAAAGGGACACAGTGTGAGAGGCCCTGCTTCTTGCTCACCTCTCTCCAGCCTCCTTCCTCTCTCCGGGTCAGAGCACTCACATTTAATCACTGCTGGAACACCAGGATCTCTATTTTCTTTGAAATAAGAAAAAGAGAAAATTATCTGTAAGGAAGAAATGGGGTCAGGGAGATTGGATAGTTGGAGGGCAGCCTCATGAGGGAACACCAGACCTGAGAAGCTAAGCCAGAATGAGTGTCCCCAGGAGGAGTGTCTCTGTGGGCTTGCAACTTGCTGCCTCCTCAGGAAAGGTCAGGGGACCTCTTGAGGGCTGAGAGAACCCAGCTCCAATCCAGAATAATATGGAAGGAAAGTAAAAGTACACTAAAGTAGATTTGATAGTGAATCACTACTTTTCATTAAAACATGGACAAAGAGTGGCCTGGTCACTCTCCTATGCTGTTTTCTAATGAACACTACATTGTTTATTTACCGCAAGCTCAATTTGTCTTTTACTTATTTCCTTAACTCCAAGTTTATTTTCCTTCATTGTCTTTAAATGGCCATTTTCTCATTAATAGGGGCTTTTATTCAGCTTTATGGCCTTATTTTCAGTGAAATCTTTCCTTTATCCTTGTTTTCAGTGAATTAAGATAGAACAATCTTGTGTTTTTGAACAAATTTAAAAACTCCGTTGACATTATATTACTTACTTTTCACATACCAATTTAAAACAAAATAGCTAACATAACAAACTAAAAATTTTTTTCCTGTCTTTCTTTCTTTCTCCCCCCTACCCCGCCGCCTTTGTGACTGGGGTTTTGCTATGTTGCCCAGGTGGCTCTAGAATTGTTGGGCTCAAGCTGTCCTCCCACCTCCACCAGTCAATAGCTGGGATTTCTGCTGCATATCACTATACCAAGCATGTTTACTTTTAAGATCACTTGTAATTCTATCTGGTTCACTTTGTCTTATAGTCCTTGGTATGTAATGATCACAAATGATAGAGATTTTGGATATTCATGGTTATATGAGAATTTTAACAATTTTCTATTTTGCCCCATTTTTACTAAAAACTTGCACAGATTCCTTTAAGAAATCTTTCTGCAGCCCAGTGTGCACTTTCAGTCTTCATTTCCACGTTAATGGTGGGGGGAGGGAACTGCCTGCAAATGTGTTTTTTATTGAGTTATCATTTAGGAGGAATTCCAAGAGCATTATTAAAACAGGTAAGGTACTGAAATAATTAACCATTGATAGAAGAAATAAGTTTTACACCTAACATAAGTGCTGGAAGGAAACAAAATACCCAATACTAGAACTGTTCATGTCTGATGGTGGAGGAAAAAGCACAAGAAGACATCAGAAACTGCTACATAGATGATCCATTCGAGAATCTGTAAAGGCATTGAATGGATATTGTGGGGGTTTGGAGCAGAGATGGAAAGAAGAACTGCATCCAGAAGATCAGTGGGGTGGGGGTGGGGAGAACGAAAAGCAGGGAAGAGGACCTAGTTAGCAGATTCTGGAGCTAAATCCAGGAAAAGGAAGTGGGCCTGGAGAAGAAAAAAATAAGACAATTGTAGGGTTTTTTTGTTTGTTTGTTTGTTTGTTTGTTTTGTTTTTGTTTTTATAAAATA